CCCCCCCCCTTGCTTGCTTCTCTCTCCCCCCAAAAAGCGGGGGGGATATTAAGGGAAAAATTGTGGAACTCTGAGTATAGCCTTAGTAATAATGTATCAATACTGGTTCATTACTTGTGACAAATTTACCACACTAATAGAAGATGTTAAGAATAAGGGAAACTGGGTGTGGGATAGACAGGAACTGCACTATCTTCACAATAATGCAGTGAATATAACACTGTTCTAAAAAAAAGAAAAAGTTTATTTTAAAAGTTTTTTTTTTTTTTAATTGTAAACTACTGCATGCCTGAAATTTTACTCAGTGCATGGGCACAAAAGATACCTGAAACATGGTTTTGGCCCTTAAGAAGCTTACTGTCTCACTGTGAGGTAAGAAAAATGCTCATGAAACAAATATAAGAAAATATTAAACTAAGAAGTGTAGATAAAAGTATATTAGGAATATAGAGAAGGTCTAGAATTATGAGAGTAGACTTCATCAAGGAGATAAAAGTTGAGTTTGTACCTTAAAATGTACTTTAAGGTACCAAAGTAAAAAAGAATAAATTGGTACACTCATAAGAACAACCAGAGGGTGAAGAAACAAGACTAAAAGAAATGAAAGAAATGAAATTTAGTCCTGAAAAGTGAAGATTTAAATGGGAGACAATAGCAGTGTTCAAGAATCATGCGGCAGAATAGAGTTACATCAGACTGTCATTTAACTTACTAGCTGACCTCTGGTAAAATGTGACCAATGCTCAAGGACATAGAGAGTGACAGCTGTTTGGTAAAGCCACAAGAGGAAATGCCAATTTGGAAAGACAGGAAGCAGGTGGCCAAGTTCTTCTCTGCAACTTTTCAAAGGACAGTGTGCATATGAGCTCACTAAAGCAAAAATTTAAATCTAAATCTTGCAAACATTTATTGACCACTTACCATGTGCTTCCATACATATTATCTCATTTAATATCACAACACATTTATAAACGTTTATCAATGTAATAAAGGCTTAAAGTAAAAATACAATAAAATTAACCCTGCAAGGAAGCAGGAACACATAAAATTCTCCACCATCCACCACTCTCTGATAGGGATTTGACAGCTGTTTTAAAAAGCAAAACTGTTGGGCACCTGGGTGGCTCAGTTGGTTAAGCGACTGCCTTCAGCTCAGGTCATGATCCTGGAGTCCCAGGATCGAGTCCCGCATCGGGCTCCCTGCTCGGCAGGGAGTCTGCTTCTCCCTCTGACCCTCTTCCCTCTCGTGCTGTCTCTCATTCTCTCTTTCTCAAATAAATAAATAAAATCTTTAAAAAAAAAAAAAAAGGCAAAACTGTTTAAGGCCTACATATCTACATAATAATTTATTTCCTCCTGCTCCTTCAGTAATGCTCTGTGGCTCTCAGTTTGCAAAGTGCATAAGAATTATATATCATTATATATACAAAAACATGCACACAGTACTTTTTAAGCATTTTAAGGGTTTGTTGTTGTTGTTGTTTTTTTAAGTAGGCTCCACAACCAGCGTGGAGCCCAACACCAGTCAGGCTTAAACTCACAACCTGGCTGAATTCAAGAGTCAGACGCTTAACCAACCAAGCCACCTAATCGCCCCACAATTTAAAGGATTTTCAAGTATACTTTTCATTTTATATGATTTTTGTTTCAAGTGCTGACTTTAGTTAGAACTGAATCCTGGGAATGAGGTACAACCCCACTGCAAGCTTCCTCCATGGTCACTGAAAGGCAGCATCAGGGCAAAAAGGTAGAAAGGGTGAATCCTATTACAACATGAAAAACATTCTAACAATTAGAGCTATCTAAAATTCTCATAGGCTACCTCAAAGCAACGAATTTACTGTCATCAGAGGTTTCAAAGAGAAGCTGAAAAATCACTGAGCACATTTTAGAAGAAAGCAATTGGGTAGAAAGTTAAGATTCCTTCCAAGTCTTAGATTCTATTATGCGTAGACTTTTAAAACCTGACAGGAAGAGGGCAACCTAGTTAAGAACAAAACGAAAAAAAGACAAAGCCAAGAATGACATGGTACTAAAGTTCAATGCTGGGGAACATAGGAGCAGCTCATTTCCACCTGCAGATCTTTGTACCTGCTGTTTCATTTGCCAGCAAAGTTCTTCCATCTTTTAGACCACAACTCAGGTATCTTCTCCTTAGCGAGGCCTCTCCACGACCCCCACCAGTCACTCCCTGGTCACATCATCTTGTCTTATTTTCCTCATAGCTGTTACCAGGAATCAGCACTTTTTCTATAAAGGGCCAGATTACAGCCTACAGGCCAAATCCAGCTTGTCCCATGTTTTAGTATGGCCAAAGGAAAAAAAAATCAAGAATAATAATATTGGGGCGCCTGGGTGGCTCAGTCGTTAAGCGTCTGCCTTCGGCTCAGGTCATGATCCCAGGGTCCTGGGATCGAGTCCCACATCGGGCTCCCTGCTCAGCGGGAAGCCTGCTTCTTCTCCCTCTCCCACTCCCCCTGCTTGTGTTCCTGCTCTGTCTCTCTGTCAAATAAATAAATAAAATCTTTAAAAAAAAAAAAAGAAGAAGAAGAAGATTTTGGTGCACCTGGGTGGCTCAATTGGTTAAGTGACTGCCTTTGGCTCAGGTCATGATCCAGCCCCACATCGGGCTCCCTGCTCAGCAGGGAGTCTGCTTCTCCCTCTGACTCTCCCCCCTCTCGTGTTCTCTCTCTCATCCTCTCTCTCAAATAAATAAAATCTTTAAAAAATAATAATAATAATAATATTTTGTGACATGGGAAAACTATACGAAATTCGAAAGTTTAATTAGAACATAGAAACACTTGTTTAGGGCGCCTGGGTGGCTCAGATGGTTAAGCGTCTGCCTTCGGCTCAGGTCGTGATCCCAGGGTCCCGGGATCGAGTCCCACATCGGGCTCCCTGCTCCTTGGGAGCCTGCTTCTCCCTCTGCTTCTCTCTCTCTCTCTCTCTCTCCGTCTCTCATGAATAAATAAATAAAATCTTTAAAAAAAAAAAGAAACACCTGTTTATGTACTGCCTGTGGCTACTTTACACTAAACAACAGAGTAGCTGCAGCAGAAACTGTATGGCCTGTAAGGCCTAAAATATTTACTTTCTGGTCTTTTACAGAAAAAGTTTGCTAACTGCTGATTTATAGCATTACCTGGAATTATCATGTTTGCTTGCTATCCGTATTCTCATACACACAGAAAAAAGCTCAGTCACAAGGACCTTGTCTATTTTGTTCCCCACCATAGCCCAGTACTTAGAAAAACTCCTGGAACAAAATAAGGATTCAATATTTTATGAATAAATAAATGAGTGCTCCATAAATGTCATTCTGAGAAATTTAAACTTAAGCCCTCAGCCATTTTATGTTTTGTACATATATGACAGGCATAAAAACTCTTGCAGAAAGGGGAAATATTCTAGTATAGAGAAGGAGCAAACAGCTTAAAGAAATGGTGGTCACCAACTAGTCCAGGTCACTGGGTTTCTTCATCAAACTGTACAGGTTTTTTGTGCTCATAAAAGATTCTCTCAACCACTGGAAGGAGTTAACAACATTCTGTCAGCTGACTGCGCTTCTATTTATCTTAAGATGCAAATACTCCGAGAAATCTAATTTCCTATACATAGTACACAGCACCCACACCATGCCAAATCTTAATGCTCATAATTATAACAGATCTTGATCACATGCTAATGAAATTTTAATATCTAAATTTTTCCTATGCTGATCAGCAATCTATTCTGTAAGCAACTGAAAACTCTTTAGAAATTAAAAGGTTACCGCCCACAGACCAGAAGCAGCTTTTTAATCCTTCTATACTAGCCAGAGAGTGGGTGTGCGATTTCAAAAAAAATACAAGCCAACTCTGTTGGTAGAGGACGAGATATAGTTAAAATCCCACCTATAAGCATGGTGTGTTACAGGACACTAGTAAAACTACCACCTACTCACAATCCCAGTCTCACTGTTCTAATCTACAAATGAAGAAAAAAACGTATCTAGACCCTGGAGAAATCGTCATTAACATTTTCATAAGGTTCTTTCCTCCAGGCTTTGCAACAATTTTTTTTTTAAGATTTTATTTATTTATTTGACAGAGACACAGTGAGAGAGGGAACACAAGCAGGGGGAGCGGCAGGCAGAGGAAGAAGCAGGCTCCCCGCGGAGCAGGGAGCCCGATGCGGGGCTCGATCCCAGGACTCTGGGATCATGACGTGAGCTGAAGGCAGCTGCTTAACCAACTGAGCCACCCAGGCGCCCCTTTGCAACAATTTCTATACACAGGTACTTCAAAGACAAGGATTTGGTTTAACCAATCACTCCCAAAATGTAACATACTGGTCAGAAGACATAAACATATCAAAGTTTTATTCTAAAGCAGCTACCTGCCTTTTAAGCCCTGAATTTTTTTTTTTTTTTAAGAATTAGCTAATTTAGGAATGCAGAGACCTTTCCTAGAGATGCTTATGAGTATGTAAGACTTACAGCAACCATTTTGGATTAGAGTGTGTGTTTTCATCTTCCCTTCCTCTGTGACAAGTCAGGATGAAAAGGCAGCCCGCAAAAGCTTTGACTAGAATCTACCAACACTCCTATGTATGGTGTCACCAGAGAAAAGGGGGAAAATTAGCCAACAGCTCTAGTGGGCTGCTTCAAGAAACTCTGCTGCAGATTCACCTCACCATCAATGTTGTTAAGGGATGAGCCAAACCAACAACTGGACCAACATTACACACACCTTTGCTTAGAATTAAAAAAAAGCAGGGGTTTGCAAGCTATAAACGGATCTCCGGCCCTTTAGGGAAGGGGCAACTCACTGAGCCCCCTTTTCCCTTCCTAAAAGGATTAATAAAAGGCACTCTTAGACCAAGCCCAGCCAGCCTAGACTCACAACCCACCATACAGCACCTATTTTCCCCCGTTCCCAGTACAGCGGGGCTCCTTCCTCCCATCAAACGACAAGTTCAAAATCAAAACAAAAGGTGCAAAACTGGTTTCAGGTGGCAATGGCTAAGCCCCAGTGGTCAACTTCTGGGGACGCCAGGACGAGCGAGGGCTCACAGGACCCCAGACCTCCACCACAGTCTACTCCCAAACAGTCCCTCAGGCCCCGGCCCAACTCCTCACACGCCCCTCCCTCCCCTCGGCCCTGCAGGGGGGCGCCTGGAAAGGGGGCAAAGAGTGGGGGTGGGGAAAGAAGCCCCAGGGTCGAAATGACAGCGGAACAAGCTGGGAAAGAAAAAGGCCCGGCGGGATGCCGGAGGACGAGTCCTAGGCCCGGAGCTCCAGCCCCGAACGGGGGCGATCAAGGGTCCGAACGGCGCCAGGCCGCGAGCGGGAAGCCGGGCCAGCGTCGGCGGCGCCGCCTGGCCACGCTCCCCTCACGACTCTCCCCACCCGAGGCGGAGGGGCTGAGGGGCCACGGCCGCCGCCAGCATCCGGGGCGGGGGCACTCACTCACCGGCGGGGAGGGGAGGAGCAGCCGGCGTCTCCGCCAGCGCCGTGGCTCGAGCTCAAGCGCCGGCTCCTGCCGCTGCAGCCGCCGCGCCGGGTCCATCCCCCCCAACCACCCCCCTCCCGGCCCTCCCCCCGCGCCGCCTCAGCCGCCGCAGCCGCCGCTGCAGCCGCCACTGCCGCTTCAGCCCCGGCGCGGGAGCGCGAACCGGCGCGAGGAAGCGAGAGCGCGCGCGCCCACCGCCACCGCCCACAACCTCCGCCCCCAGCCGGCCGCGCACGCGTGAGGCGGCGGCGGGCGCGCGCACGCTTCAGGGGGCGGGGACGGCCCCCGGAAGGCGTGGCCCCGCCCACCCACGCGGTGGCTGGGCTTTTGAGAAGAACCGCTGCAGGTGATGCTATGCTGCTCCGGGTGGGCTTCTCCCGCCACTAGCGCCTGAAACCAAAGCCTCCAATCTGGCCCCTTTTCCTGGGGAGCGAGGCTCGGGCGCGACGCAGGCTTGAGCGCACTTCTGGCCGTTGTACAGGATCACACACCTGTTCTCCCTACCTTGATCTAAAGACCTGCCTTCTTTCTCCGATCTAACAGGTTTTCGTCCGCTGCTGCAAAAAGGACTGAGACTGTTACTATTTACCGTCCAGCATTACCACTGAAGGGACCACAAGCAGCCATCGGCCTCTTTATTATCCCATTTTTCTAATTCAGTTATTCGTTTCTCGCTTATGTATTGAGGCTTCTTCCGTGTGGTAGGCCCTGTTCCACTTGCTTGGAGAACGTTATGGAAATAAAGGCGTCCCTAGCCTTATGAAGTTAATCTGGTGAAGGACAACGTTAAAAGGAGAAACACACAACATTAAAACTTGTTATTAGTAAGATCTCTTCTGGGAGGTACATGGTGCTAAAAGAACCTGGGAGGGTGGGGTGGAGGTGTTTAGTCAAGGATATGCAGGCTGGAATCCAAAGGACGACTTGAAAAGAGTTAAGGTCCAACAGGTGAGAGCTTGGCATGGCCAGAATGGCGCGCTGAAAGACCACTGAATGTGGGGTTGAGTGTGGGAAAAGGTAGGCAATAATTGAGGTAAGGATTTGAGACTATAATTTGAGAATCTGGGAAGCCAGTGAGGATTTTTCATTACTTGTATTTTTAAACCATCATTTGGATAGCAGGAAGAGTGATCTGGAGGGGGCTCACAGTTGGTACAGAGGGGCCAGTTAGGAGGCTGCTGTTATGGTCAAGGCAAGGTAAACTGGTGGTGGTAGAGAAGAGCACTTCTTAGGAACAGGACTTGATAGACTGGATGAAGAGTGAAGGCAAGGGAGGTGGCAAGGTTGACTTTTAGATTTAAGGTTGATGGGATGCATTAGTGGACCTCAGGAACACTGGAGGAAGCCCCTGAGGAAACTAAAAATGGATTCTAAACATAAAAGCTGAAACTATAAATTTGGGGGCGCCTGGGTGGCTCAGTCAGTTGAGCATCTGACTCTTGATTTCAGCTCAAGTCTTGATCCCAGGGTCGTGGGTTCAAGCCCAGTGTTGGACTCTACACTGGGCATGGAGCCTACTTAAAATAAATAAATAAAGTAAATTTCTAGAAGAAAACATGGAAAAAATCTTTAGTGATCTCGAAATAGGCAAAGATTTCTTAGGGCACAAAAAGAAATAGTTCATAAGTTGAACATCGAAATTTTAAAATATTTTAAATTTAAAAAGACATTAAGAAAATGAAAAGGCAAGCCACAGATGGGAGGGAGAATTTGCAATACAATATATCTGACAAAAGACTTCTATCCAGAATATATAAAGAACTCTTATAACTGAGTAATAAAAAGACAATCCAATAAAACAATGAGCACAGGTTTTAGTAAACACTTCACCAAAGAAGACAAAAATGGCCAATAAACAATAAAAAGATGCTCAACATCTTTTGTAAATCCAGGGATTTGCTAATTAAAACTACCACGATCTACCACTACACTCTCATTAGAATAACTAGAATTAAAAAGTCTGATGACCCAGCAATCCCACTCCTACACATCTCCTTAAATGTACTTAAGCTCCAGATAAAGACAATAACAAAGTCATACATCCCCCCTAATATGATACAACTAACCTGCATACAACCGAAAACACATAACTTTCCCCAAAAGAGGATGCAAAGTCGTTAGGTGATGTTCCCTTTCTGCTTCTGACATCCTGTAACTTAATACTGCAATATATAGTTGACTCTTATTAAGACAGCTCCACTCTATAGTAGCAGTTAAATTTCCCCCTTGGTAATCAGGATCAGTCACCCCGGCCAATACAGGAACTCCCTTCTTACATTAGTTTCAGGTGTAAAACATAGTGATTCGACAAGTTTGTATACTATGCTATGCTCACCACAAGTGTAGCTCCCATCTGTCACCATACAACACCATTTCAACTCCATTGACTATATTCCCTATTTTGTACCTTTCATCTCTGTGATTTATTCATTTCATAACTGGAAGCCTGTATCTCCCACTCCCCTTCACTCATTTTGCCCATCCCCCCACCACCCTTCCCTAAGGCAACCCAATTTATAGGTCTGTTCCTGCTTTTGTTTGTTCATTCATTTTAATTTTTTTTAGATGCCACATGTAAGTGAAATCATATATTTGTCTATCTCTGTCTGACTTATTTCACTTAGCATAATAAGGAGCTCCATTCTTTGCCTGTTGATTCAGAGGCATGAGTTACCCAAAGTGCGCAGGTGACAGTCTCAGTTTCCAATTCAAGAAAATCATTGTTATGTCTTCTGGTGGAAGCATTCTTCCCTTTGGAACCAAGACCTCCAGACCAGCAAAGCTTCTGGCCATTTCTTCTTCCAGACAAAATGAGCAACCAGGTGCAGCACTTAAAGTTTTGACAACCGGGAGGCTTTTCCTTGGTTATTATTCTTCAAGACTCTCCCAGAAAGGAGCTGTAGTACTACAGCAGTCCATTTTCACCCAGTGCTTGCATATTGTGCAGAACCTTTGTACACAAGGCTCTAAACCAAGAATAAGTTTTCTCTTCCCCAGGTAAGAGTAGGGGCCATGGACATTTGGGCCACTTCCTTATACAACTTGTTTATACACTTCAGTGCCCATTCAAGCCCAGTTTCATATATACCACTTCACTGATACTGGAGTGTTGCCATTTATGCACAACTTTATAGCCTAGTCGGTCAGATAACACCTAGTTCATGATAGGCAGCTCAGGTCACATGGAAATTTGATGGCCCATGATCAAGCATTCAGTCTCTACTAGGGCTCAGCAGCAAGCCAAAAGCTGTTTCTCAAAAGGCAGGCAGTTATCTGTAGATGATGGCAGGGCTTTGCTCCAAAATCCTAAGGTTCTTTTTTTTTTTTTT